CACTGCTTTGGATAATCTAGTACACATCATACAATAACTTATACACATCGGACAGAATGTTCATTTAAAATGCTAATCAAGATGTGTAAAACAGGACTTTAATATTAATGTTATTCCTAGCCTAACGCACAGAGATAACTTCTCTGAATATTATCAAGAAAGTTGCAGCCAAACAACTTTCTGATAATATTAAGTAGTAAATGAACATCCTCTCCTAGGCGTCGGACGCCAGCGCGGTCGCCCGAAAGCCTCGGCTTTTTTGCGTCCTCGAATCCTCAGCGGCGCGGGGCGAGGACGGGAACGACGAGGGGTGGGGCGGGATGGAGGCGTCGACGGCGAGCCCCGAACCTTCCCTCCGTACCGCGCCTTCCCCGCGCTCCACGCTGCAACGACGGTGACGTCAGCACTGGAATCCTCTTTCAGCGCGACGCACACAAGTGCGGCTCAGTCCGCCTAAAAAACAACAACTTTGGTGTGAACTGCCATATTACACATGTGTACAGCCCGGGAATTAAACGGGAATGTGAAAGGAATAATATACATATTAACACGCCGAAGCGTAAACATGTGATTACGAAAGTTTGTGAGGAGAAAAGGACGCCAAGGACGTTTGTGGGTAAGTTACGTCATGTGAAGAGTGAAGGGATGCTCCTCGAAAGGAAAAAAAAAACTGAAACAGCCTACACGCGTATATCCTTTCTCCGACCAGCAGATGGGCTACGCTGGACTACTCCGGCCTCTAAACACTGCTCATCGATATTCCTCCAGGCGACCTAACCGGTTCCAAAAATCCACGTCTTGCACTTGGCGTCGCGCGCGAAGCGGCGCAATGCACCTCGACGCATTCCTCGCTTGGGCAACTCGCGCCAACTAAAAGAAAGACGAAGAAACTCTCATCCACGCGGTGGCCAACTTGGCTCCCGCGGTCACCCTCCGCGCGGTGCGCGTGACCCGAAGGTCGACGCGAGAAACCGGCTAGCCCACTTTCCAACTGCCGCTGTGCGTTAAGGAAACGAGACTGTTTGGGCGATGATCTTCAATGGGCGCGAGAGAATATCCAGCGGAGGCGACCCATTTGGGCATTCGAGTCCAGTCCGATCTCTCCTCACTTTACAAGATTAAGAGATACGAAACACCTATCGCTTGGCATCCTTCGCGGCGTCGCTATTTCAAAATCCCTTTTAGAACATGAAAAGGCAATCCCATCTTGTGACTACTTGGTAACTTCACACGTTCTCGAGAGCGCAGCGAATACTTGTGATATTATTCTCAAATGGCTGCTTAAAATAAATAGTTAACATTGAGTCATGAGCAATTCTCAAGTATTCGGTTAGTTCTGCTTCCCCGAAGAAGCAACCCTATACTCCTACGTCGATCGTTTCTTTTGGGAGGAAGACACGACGACTGACGTTTGCGTCACCACGCGAGGGGACTGCGGGGTCGTGGCGGCCGTGGCGAATTCGTAGATGTATTTGGCGTGAGGCGCGTTGAACGAAACGAAACTGTTGTGCTCGTCCACGCCCTCCGCCGTCAAAACAGGGGAGTCCTCCCTGTGCGGAGTGGAGGTTTCAGGCCTCTTCGTCGTGGTGTTAAAGGACGCCTTGGCGGTGCTCTTGAAGTAAACGGCTACTTTGTCGTCTTGGAATCGATTCGGAGTGCTCGGCGTGGTCGACGGAACGGGAGTGGAGGGAGTGGATGGGGTGGTGGACAGAGCCTCTGTGACAGGCTCCGCGGGCGCGGACGCTGGCGGCACCACCACATCGCTCCTGGAAGACCCTTGCGCTTCTACTTCGTCTTCTTTCTTGTTCACGCTCAAGACGGAGCTGGAGGCGGCGTTTTGCAGATCCTGGGAAGCTCCATACGCAGAGGATTTGGCGTTGCCTTCCTGCTGCTCGATGGCGTTCAGGATGTCCTGGAGAAGCCCGTTGTTGAGGACTTGCTCGTGAGGGATGTTGGCATCGGGCCCACCAGTGCCTACTCCAGGGGCAGCCTGAATCTGCAGAGTGTAGCTGCCGCGTGAGCCGCGAACAGAAAAGTCGCTGCCGCCCGATGCGCCGGCATTGCTGGTTTGGTGTTGGTTGTTATTTCCAACCACCTGACCGTCGTGGTGCTCCAACACCAGCTGGCTGGCTTCCTGTCCGATGCCGGAGAGACCTAGTTGCGCCAGAGCACCTGACACCTCCCCGTGACCGCCATCGTGGTCGCCGCCAACTTGCTGCTGCGCGTCTGGTGAGCCGTAGTTGTGGTTGGGTGCTGCGTTGTGGCCGCTGTTGGCGTCTCCACCAGAGGGATGAGAGCCGCCGTGAGGGGCTGAGTCGGCCGGAATGGAATTTCCGTTTTGAGGATGGCGAGGATCAGGACCGCCATAACTCACTGATATGACTGGCGAAGAGGGAGCGCCGTAGAGATTAGATGGCGGAGTTAGAAACGTCCCTCCGTTACCACTGGGACCAGAGAGAGGCGCGCCGTATGATGACGCAGGACCTTGACCGTGTCCACCATGGCCACCGTGGTCGCCTTGGCCTCCGTGACCACCTTGACCTCCGTGACCACCGAACCCTCCGGGTCCGCCATGTCCACCATGACCTCCGTTTCCACCATGACCATCGTGCCCACCGCCGATTCCACCAGCTCCAAAGTTGTTCGACGGCACAAAGCTGGTATCTGCACAGTTGTTCCCTCCAGACGTTGCAACGTAGCTGTGAGAATGTCCACCACCCGTAAGTGCTAAAGATTGGGCCCCACCGAAGCCTCCGCCTAGACCATGGCCGCCGGACGGGGCGCCGTAAGCCCCAGAAGGTGGAGGCGGGGGCGGACCGCCATACGAGCTGGAGGGCGGAGGTGGATGAGGCGCTCCGAAAGAGCTCTGAGGTCTTCGATGAGGCGCTCCGTATAGTCCGGAAGGTGGTCTAAGAGGAGGAGGTCCGTAGAGACCGGAAGGTCGAGAAGATCCAAAATTGCCGTGTGGACGTCTCGGAGGGAAGGGAGCGCCATACGAAGACGATGGGGGTGGGGGTGGTGGGTGAGGAGGCGCGCCGTAGGATTCAGATGGACCAAGCGGAAGCGAAGGCGGTGCACCGTACGCGTCAGAAGGCGGTGGCACAGGTGCCCCGTATGTAGCGGACAGACCACCGCTCGCTACATTAAAAGCTGAGGGTCCCGAAATAGTATTAGCGTAGCTCGTTGCGATGCCAGCAGACGGAGCTCCGTAAGTGCCAGACACGGCGGGCGGGACGAGGAAGCTGGTAGCGGCTTGCAGAGTCGTATGCGACGGCGGGAACGGAGCTGGTTCAGGAGATCCGTACACCACTGCAGGTACAGAAGGATCACGCACTGAACTTCCAGGGTCGTGAACAGGAGGAGGCAGATACGTCTGCCCCTTGGTGTGGCCAACTCCATTCTGTTCAACAGCCTTGCCGATCGAGGTGAGCAGGCCTTTCGGCACGGGTTCACGGAACTTGACTGGCTCCTTGGGCATGCGAATATGAGACTGGTCTGGAGCTCGTAAATCGAAACCCGGCCCTTGCAATGAGAGGCCCGTCTGCGGCACTCCGTATGTGATGCTCGGCGCAATTTGCACGGAGGTGCTTAAGCCGTCGACGCCGCCGCCGTTCGGTGCGCCGTACTCTAAACTGGGTCCAAATAGGCCTCCGCCGTTGGGAACGCCGTACTCGATGCTCGGCTGCGGCTGATCCAAGTTCCCGACGCCGCCGGCGATAGCCTGAGCGAGGGTGAGAATGTCTTGGTTCTCTGCTCCCAGACCAGTGTTCGGAGCGCCGTATTCCACATTGGGAAGCGCAGAACCTCCGCCGCCTCCTAGGTCCAGGCCGCCTCCCAAAGCGGGGGCACCGTATTCCGCTGACGGAGCAGGCCCCAGCCCAACGCCATCCAAATGAACATCTGGAGGTGGTGGAGGCGGGCTGAACACTCCCACTGCGAATCCTCCGCCTCCACCACCATGGCCTCCTCCACCACCATGGCCGCCTCCACCACCATGGCCTCCTCCACCACCATGGCCGCCTCCGCTGGGAGGTGGGCCGTACGAATCACTGATGCCACCAAGTACTGCCCCGCCGCCGCCGCCTCCAATGCCTCCACCTCCATGTGGCCCACCGCTGGGCGGCGGGGGTGGAGGTCCTCCATATGCGCCACTGGGTTCTGGAACGCCTCCACCGGCGCCAGCTGGTGGGGGCCCGTAGGAGTCTGTAGGTCCAGGCGGCGGCCCATACGAATCACTAGGCCGCTGTGACACCAATCCAGGAATAGGTTGCCATCCGTCGTATTTAATTTCGGGCGGTGTAGGGGGCGCTCCATCGCTGATGGGCGCACCGTAGGCACCACTGGGAGGACGCGAGATACCATGCCCGTGACCATGGCCATGGCTTTGGCCTTGGCTTTGGCTATGGCTATGAACATGACTGATGCCGTGTCCGTTGCCATGGCCGTGCCCTCCACCACCACCACCACCTATTCCTCCTCCGCCGCCGCCACCAAGTCCAAGCCCAAGAGATGGAGGTCCATAGGTTTGCTTCGGAGGCGACAACTGGGGTGGGCCGTACACCGGCCTAGGAGGTCCGTATACTTGCTTCGGAGGCCCGTAAACAGGTCGCGGAGGCCCGTAGACTGGTCGGGGCGATTTCGGTGGACCAAATAATCCAGGAGGCGGCGGACCATACGCGTTAGACGGCGGCGGCCCGTAGCTGCTAGAGGGAGGTCCACCGAAACCGCCGTGGGGGCCCTTGGAGGGAGGAGGTCCATACCCCGGGCGCGGGCCCTTGAACCTCGGTCCAACCGAGGGCTTCTTCCCGAAGAGGCCCGGAGGCGGTGGGGGCGGCTCCGGGGGCGGCGGCACGTAGATGGCGCCGGGCGGGCCGATTTGCTTCGTGGGCGGCGGAGGCCCGTACACTGGCTTGGGCTTGGGAGGGCCGTAGCTGGGCGGCGGTGCGTACGAGTCCTGAGGCAGCGGGGCGCCGTAGGAGTCGCTGAGCGGCTGGCTGCCGCCGCCGCCGCAGCAGCCGCTGCCGCCGACCAGCAGGGACGCGTCGCGACGCTCCGCTTCTTCCGCTGGCTTCGGGGAGACGACAGCGCTGGAGCGGTGAGCCGCCGACGCCAGGCATAGCGCGACAACAGCCAACTGCAGACATTAATGCACGATTAGATAATGCTATTATGTGACACAAAAATGGTATTTGAATGATCTTTTCGTCCATTCGCACACAAACACACGGGAATACCATTAGGATATAGGATTAAAGTGTATGTAAAGACAAGTAAGAGAAAGTGTGAGTCAGGTCCAATTAAATCGTATTTAAGTTCGAAATTTTTCACATACACAGTGTTACCCTCAGCGTAAAATCCCTTCCTGAAAACATTCTGAAGGCTTGAATATCAAATCACGTTTCATTCGTATGTCACTACAAGGTGTGAAAATATGTTTTTTAACGAGCATAACCACAAGCAAGTGGTATACTGATGCGTTAATACCATGTTGACGCACGTGGCTTAAAATGCACTTCTTACAGAATACAATTTTTTATAAAGTCACTCTCTCTCACGCATACATAGACGCCAGTACACACGCGAAGAAAAGGCACGTTGGCTCGTCCCGACGGGCGCTGTACAGTGAAATCCTCGCCCGGCTACACCTATCCACACGCATTCATGAGCGAACGCACCCCTCGACGCACTTCCCACGGCGAGCGGGGCCGGGGTATTCATTGCGGGCCGCCGGCGGCGCATCTCGTTTGTTTGCGGAAGGCCCCGAAACAATGTTGACGCTGCGCGCCTCCGCCGGCCGACGACCACTTAACCTGCTTTCCCTGCGCTGCGCCGCGCCGCGACCACCAGCCCGCCGACAGAGCGGCCCCAGAACGCTCGAGTTCGCCGTAGAGCGCGATCACGAAAGCCGCGGATGCCGGCGGGGGTGGCGAGAGGGGACGAAAGTAACGCTCGATTCCTTACGCGATTACACAATTATTCTAATAGAAACTTTTCAAGTCGAAACACACGCCAGTGTGTTCCTCATAATATCACCCGTAAATAATCCCTTAACCTTTCCGCCAGAGAAGCATGATTCCTGTATCAAGTGTCGCGCGTGATTTGTCGATTTACAAGCAGTATATTTAGTATATACACATTGTCCTCCTTTCCATGATTCCATGAATTGTTGTGGACAAGGTCACTAGCGTCATTTGTGAACTCCGACTGCAGTTTCATTCTGACGGTCGGCTGAGGTACTGACGGCATAAAATTGGGGGAATCGCAGAGTCGAACGCCATACGAGCTATCGTTACTTGCACCTCGATTTCCTGCAAGGCAAAAAATTGCGTTTGAATCTGATAAAAGTATATTTTTTCTCTGGTAATATTCAGAACTATCCTCCATCTTCAACTCAATATAAGCACAATCTCCTAGACCAGGAGTCGGCAACCTTTTTGAACCTGCAGGACACATAGTCAAACCCTTAATAACTCCAATTTACTTTTCAATCATTCGGGCTGCATCAACTTTGAAATATAATGCAATAACATTACCATAAGTTAATAGTTTTAGTAAATGCATTAAAATTGTTGAAAACAAGCTTGGGATGCTCAGTTATATCAGTTTAATGAAAAAATATGTTGAGAGTATTAAAAACATATAAAAAGATAATATAAATAATTTATATTGTGTTTGTATCATCAATCACACTCCCCATAATGTACGAAATATTGCAAAAATATAGCCCACAACGAATTGTAACAAATATCCATAAATATCAACTTTCGTATTAATGGATCACGTTCTTAAAAGTTCATGTAAATGTTTGTTTGCAAGTCCCAATTGCATAGTAAACTTCATTCTTTTCATGTGAGAAACCCGTTTCCAGGAATATGTAAGGGCTCCCGAACAGTGATCATGACAACCACAAATTTACTTAGTTCGAGAAAACACTCGGGAAGACTGTCATACAATACATAATATCGTTATACTTGAATGAGTCTTTAAATGCATCATTCACTTGTGACTAGACATGTGTACTAAAAATGCCAAATCACGTATCGAGCCTAACTGATATTTCTTCTACAGTTCAACATTTTTTCCGTAAAAACTATGGTATTTCCAAACGCAAGCTGCAAAATCTTTCAAGTGCCTTTCCGCAGCTAAGCCAGAGCTCCTGAAAATGATAAATAATACTTGTATATACATTTCACTACCAACGTCTGCCAAAAATGACAGAAAGTGTCCAGGATTAAGCCCGTGAGTTGCTATAAAGTTGACAGATTTTCCAAGTAATGAGGGAAGAGAGGAGAGGGAGTATGGTAGCAAGTGTCTTGGCAGTGGACGCTTACAGCCAACTCTGAAACGCACCAGCCGCGTTGGAATTATCTGTTAGTGTATCGACCTCGTTTTTTGAAATGTGTGTTGAAACGAATGGTTTCTTTTTTTTGTTTTTTTGAAAAGTTTGTTAATTGTGAAGAAGGCTGTGGAGATTTTTTTCCTGTTGGAAATGAATCATGCCATATAATGAATGACTGATACACATTTATGATCGAAATATAGGGCAATACGTAGACCTATTTCTTCCAGAATATTCGACAGACTCACTCGTGTAGCACTTTAATCATATGAATATGAATGATTCACAGTTACGTACTTTCAACTCTCATTTACTTGTCTGCTTTGATAACATATTTCATTACCCTGACAGTAATTGAAAATTCTGTTAATTAAAGTGACTCGACAAATATCCCTTGAAAGAACAATAGTAGTATAGACGTATTATTTATCCGTCTAGCAATGAAAGTTAGCAAGGCACCTCGTAAACAAATACAGGATGCAAATGTGTTTTGACTCTAGATGGAAGGTACGATTGAGAATATGTCTGACGCTGAGACTCGAGATACATCCACTCCAAAAACACGCAATAGCCGTAAATTTGACTTGTGAGATGCACAATACCTAGCAAGTTTACAGCTCTTTTGAATTATAACTCTCCTGAAGTGGGGACTTTTACGATCATGACATGCATCAGCAGTCGCTCTAGAGATATACCTCACATCCCTCGTCCATCTCACGAAGCTCTAATGCGAGGAAGAGGAGTAGTATACACGTGCCTTCTTCAACTCGTGCAGAGTTCGTGAAACACCTCTTGGTTCGCATTCTATTGACTCACGCATGAAGAATTTCATGCCAGAACTGGTTCGCGGTCTCCCAAAATAAAGATATTTACATGCCGACTTACGCGACTGAATGGATTAGATGGCACGTCTACTAGTCGGCATGACAAAGAATTACAATGTGAATACTTCTTAAGCCAATAAAGTGATTTCCTGTAAGACCAAAAAACAAAACCACCAGAAGGAGTAAATAAACTATAAAAAATTCACGATATTTCAGATACAGACCAAGAAAGACGTTAAAATGTTGAAGTTATAGCTACTACCTCCGTCAAAAAATCCAATGTTCCACCAAAATGTGACCTGCACCATTCTCTTAAACCGTTTTTGCTCTATCAGAGGTGGAAAAATATTTCCAAAAATTTGAAGCCGTTTTTGAGAAAATGTTAACACCGCATGTAAAGTACCCCTAAAATCAAAATATCGGTTTCAAAT